TTCATTGCTATGCTAGCCTTGGATCAAACTAACTATAAGAATATCAAATCTCGTTGTTTCCATCGCAAAACCGTTGACAATGTACTTACTTTTAGGCTTCACAACAATGCTTTTGCAAGAGTAGGAGCGGAGATAGCTTAGTGCGGTGGAAATAGACGCCACTAGAGAGAATGCAATCCTTGTCACAAAGGGCAGGTGCAGCATAAGCAGTCTCGGCTAGTGTTGAGTTCAGTTTTCAAATAATCAACAGTACAAGGATTTCGGACTTTTTACATGGGGAGTCTATGCGGGTCAACAGGGGCAACTATTGTTGGGCTGTGTGAACATTACGCTCAAAATCATATGATTTCACGTACACAACTTAGAAATGATACACAACAGACAGCCATTACATGCTAGTGGGAAATCCCCAAGTGCGAAAAATAGTCCGGGTATTTCCAGAATGGGCGGGACTTGAGGGAGTAATTCATCTATGGGGTGTAAAGGCGAATAATACTGCGTCAGAAATCTTTTTGTAGGTTTAGTTTCGAATTCGTTGACAAACGGTGGGGAATTGACTTTGTGAGAAATCTGCAACCGCCACAATAGAACCGCATCCCCGGCCCCGTGTAATAACGAGCAATGCGTATATACTTCAGTTATTACTCAATGAATCCCATAGTCCCGGTTCGGATATGTACAGAAAAATATTACTTTGAGTAATTATGGGTGGGAACAACAGCTGTGACCGGAAGCCTTTTTGTTTCATCAAGCATCATTTCAGTATCGCTTAGTTTTTCAATGAATTCGTAGATTCAAAGCTTTGCGTAACACAAAATTGATATGTTCCAATGCACATGTATATGAAGAAACACAAACTTGTTTATATCTGCAGATATAGCCTAAAAACATGCGTTTGGTGTATGTATTCTGGGGTTGATTTCTTCATTACAAAGATTTTATTACGCCAAATAATAGTCGCACTTTACACTTTCATTAGAACAATAAGACTTTCTTCGTGTGATAAGATAATGATTCCATTATTTTAATATTATGACATATTAGTTGAGACTTAATAGTTAAGGAAGTTTTTTCAGGAAGTACTTCCCGCATACTCCGATTGATGGTGACCCATACAAATCAGGAATCAGCTTGCTAAAATTGGTAATACCCCAAAAATGAGATCATCACAACTGCAGACATTACGCATTGTACACAGGATGTATCCGGTGTTGGGTCGCCAAACAATTAATTGTTTGTTTGGTTACTTGTGTCATAACTTGATGTTGTGAATTCTCGTATTTTCGGTTTCAAAAACTTAGCTGATGTACACAAGGGCAAACACGTGGGTCGGCGAACGCTACTTGAGAACTGAAAACTGGTTTTGTGGGTGACGAACCATTGTAGAGAGTGTGCAAAATACGAGGCAATATTGGAACGAAATTGAGGCAGCACTTGCATGTTGGTCGGTGAAACTGTACGCAAGCTAGCTGCCTGTGTCAACCATGAGCCCAGTATTATGATTCAGAAAGCGGCGCGGGTTGGGGGCCTATGTAATCTAAAGACACCAGAGACCGTGAGCCTTATGCGACATGAATTTGGGGGAATACTGAAGAACTAGAGAAAGTAATGTTTACATAAAATAGATGCTATATTCCACAACATTTCCAAATACTGAAATCCTCTTTCCACGCCACATATTTGCTCGCAAAAGTCACACACGGCGATAACAAAATGTTTGACTTTTGAGCAACAAACTATAATTTTTCGTCGAATAGAGGGCGCTAGTCTACATCACGGAAGTCCGTACATGTGATGACGCTGGAGCCTTTTGGCTCGTCCATACCTCCTTGATTTTACCATTATCATTTGAAACTCTGAAGCACATTTTAAGTATTTGGAGATGCAGGTATGTGTGAGTAATAAGTTTGAGTGGAATGTTAAAATTAAGCGGGCTTTTTGGAAAGATTTTACCGTTTGGCTCCGTGTTATGAATTATGTTTACCGCATCCGTACGCATATGCACAGCCTGAGTTCAGGTGCATGTACAGTACGTCGGCCTGTGTGTACCCGTTGACGATAATGCATGACAGTGAAGTATGAACGGGAGCTGTGATTCATTGGCATTTCAGCAATGTCCATATTTGGTCCTGGATGTTTTATAAAATTGCATTTCAGTGGTTTGAAGACTGTGATTGCAATAATCGGGGGGGGGGGTAATAATGGAAAAGATTTTTACTTTAATACCTCAACCAAAACAAATCTGGAACAGCAAATAACTGTGTGAACCAGTCATGACAAGCTGACCTGTTATTCAGTAAAATCCTTGTAAAATAAGGCAGAAATTATGAGGAGATTATGCAGTCTAGTCACAGACCCCTCTGAAAAGAGTGCCAAATACGAACAGCACTAATTTTCCCTTTAAAAGGCTATAACACCCGTCAGAAAGTGATAACGTCCTAAAAAGTGAAATTCAGCTCAGAGACTTCCAAAGCATTTACTTTAAAAAAACTGGGGGTTTTCAGACAAGTCTCATAGGTTTGTGCACAGGGGCATCAGTTAAGTGTTGACTGTGCTTATAATTATATGGAACTCTTTCCACAGCTTCGTTTTTGTCACTGAGGGTTGCTCTCCAAGGCAACATTCTCTTAGTTATGCTCACCCTATTTTTTGTAACTTTTAGAACAGTGTCACTGTCAGTTACAAAAATGCAACTTTTTTTCCTGAGTTTTTGATAACCATCCATGTGAACTGGTACCCACTCACACTTGGCACACCACAACCGTACGCAGCAGTATACTGGCAGCAAAGAATGGTCGCTCGTCTTGACCAGTTTAGATTGGCTTTTGAATGGAACTTTCCAGCAACCAACCAAAGAGGTTCTACCAATTTAGCTTGGATACTGTCACCATGTTAATGTCAGTGTGTGTGTTTGTGCTTTTTTCTCCCTTGTTGCTGGAAGACTTGATTAAATTAAAGGTTTTTTGCCAAGTGTTTATGGGTGGTTATTCTCAAAGATTTTGCAGTTGCTGACCAATTTTGGTAGGGGTATTAAAATGAAATCTTTCCAGGGGGAAGACTTCCCAGGTCCTCAAAGAAAATTGTGGAATGGAAAGTAAAGATGTCCTAAATCTAAAAGTAAGGATTGCCGATCAGGGCAGATTTTGTGCTTGGTTCATCATGAAAACCCCATGTGATGAATGTTACTTAGAGACACCTTGTGCATCTCCATACTCTTTTTCCATGTGTAGGACCTACTTGATATCCTTTTGGGGTTATGTGTAGGACCTACTTGATATCCTTTTGGGGTTATGTGTAGGACCTACTTGATATCCTTTTGGGGCTATGTGTATTAAAACATACAATTAAAAAACACATACACTTTCAAAAACTGTTTCTTTTAGTTATTTTTTGCAAATCATATTGAAATTGGAGGATCTAGCCCTGTCACCGTAAGTGGATTGTTTACACGGTTCATTGTGTGAGGTAGGCTTAGGTCAACATGGACAGGTCATATACTATTGTCCTAAGAATGATAGGCCCTGTACCGTACACTGCATTGGCAATGTAGTCTGCAGATCACCATAGCAGTAGGAAAACAATGAGCCAGCAGAATCTTAAACTCAGGTGCTATATTCAGAGCTGAAAACTGACTGGGTGAAAAATGAAAAAGGCATGTTAACAAGTTCAGCATGTTCATTTTTCACGCTTGAAGTCATATGTACCATTTTGTTGTGTTTAGACTTTGGTTGACATGGTTGAGACTAGCCATATTGCAATATTGGAGCTGTGGTGTTTTTTTTAATTGAGGACCCTAACAAAGACACACAATGGAACGATATCTTGAGGGCAAAGGGCATCCTCCCTCCCAAGGAGGAGGCGGAGGTCACCGAAGATGACATCGTGGGCCTGATGGAGCAGACACTTCAGGAGAAGACACAGGGTGAGGTGCCACCTTTTCCTTTTTGAAGAGCAGGATGTTTGGGGTAATCTTCCAAAGTAGGCATTGTGTCTCGGGCCTAGTGAAAATTGGGGAGGGGGGACCCTCAAGAAAATTTGAGAGGCCGACAGCAATGCCACAGTATGCCATAAAAACACCTACAAACACAAACGTAATTATTTTCTATTCATCTTGAATGTTATTTACTGCCAGATTCCCGCTTGTGTGTAGATGCTGCATGCGTTCAATTCAATTGATTTCTACAGTTAGTATTAGTAGTCAAATGACATATGGTCTATACTTGTAGTTAGCAATGTCATTTATAGATACAACAGGGGAGCCCGTTGGAAAGCCGAGCTTTTAAGCATGACCCCGTTACATTACCAGACCTGCCAACCTAGTTGTATTCCTTCCTGACGTCAGGCATTACCTCACAATAGAATTAAAAGGTATTTAAACGAGCCTTCAGTTCATTTAAAATTTTTATCTATTGTGTAGTAATGCCTGACCTCAGAAAGGAGTTTGGCATGTTGGCAGGTCTGTATGACACACTACTTTAAATTGGGAAATACAAATACTTGTAAGACATCCAATACACATTCGCATTACATATAAGTACAAACTTGTTTTCCTAATTGCGTCTCCTTTTTTACCCTCCTTTCACCAGGAAAAGCCATGGAAGACATGTCTCTAGAGGAGTTGGATGAACTTGAAGATGATGAAGACGAGCAAGTCCTCTTAAAATACAGGTACATGTACAGGACAGGGGTCAAAATTAACGATGGTCTGCTGGCCCGAGGCCAGTAAAAAAAGTCGGCGGACCAGCTGATCTGGTAAAACTTGTGGTCCGGTGGGCCAGTTGAAATCTGATGTCTTTTCTGTCTTCACAAATATCTTTCAATAACCTTTCTTCATGTTAAAATGCTTGTTTTAAGAAAAACAGGAGTTGCCATTCATGTTTTGCTATCGCAGTGGTGAAAACATGTGTGCAAAGCTCAATGCATTAAACGAAGCTGCTCTGGTTCCTGCCGCACCGCACCCATGCAAAAGAATGCGTGATGGAAATGTAGGAACCAGAACCAGTCTGTACTATACTCAACATGGGCCGTACACATCATGGATGCGACCCTAAGGCTGCACATCAATATTGGAAGAGGTTTTCTGCAAGTTAATTCGCAGAACTTGATCTCTTATTTATGTATGTATTTTCTGCATTCATGAGTTTCATTTGAGGTTGTTCTGCTCGTGGCTACGGCTCAAGGTTTATCACCCGCTGGTCCGGATGCATCACGCACGCTTACCACTCGATACATGGACTTTGTTGGCCAGTTTGCTGTCGCGGCATAGCACGACTGTTTTGGGTTCCTAATAAAAGACTCCATATATTGCAGTAGGCCTAAGTTAAATAACATAATTATCGTGGATTCCGAGAAATCTTGGGCAAGTGTTGATCCTATTCGAGCAAGCAAATTTATGGCATGGCCTACCCCATCGAGCAAACTACAAAAAAAACCAATTTGTCACAGCCTGCGCCATGACAAGGATTGCTCAAACGGCTGCGTGTTCAGTTCTGGTATGGGACCACCAAACTTTCAGCAGGACCAGTGAAAATTTTGAAGTACTGGTCCTCCTGGCTACCAGGAAAAGAGGTTAATTTCGACCCCAGCAAGATCCCACACATGCAGTGGACCGTGATATAAGCATTCCATATGCCACGAGAAAAAAATCCCCAGGACCCTGGGAGAGCATCCATTTCTATGCAGAAGAAAATCCATCCCATAAACAGTGGAATATATCTATGGCAATAAAAAACCCACTGAGGATAGTGCCACTGTGACTATGGAAAACATTCCATGGACATGGGAAAATACCACAGGCTATGGGAAATTGGGATATGCCTTATGAACCCCGAAGCTTTGAATAGTAACCCTAACCCACTAGGGCCTTTTTACTAGGGGACATCCTCAATCCTCTAAAATCCTCCAATTGCCCAACTTCCAAAACTGCATTCATCCTCAATCCTCCAAAATCCTCCAATGTCCGAGTCATCATTCATCCAAAATCCTCCAAACCACCTTGAGGATTTCGGAGGATTGAGGTGGGTTAGGGATAATGACTGGTAAAGGAAAACGAAAGTCCTGAACATTAGAACAAAAAAGGGTACAATTATTTGAATGGAAACTCCATGTAATCGTAAGACAACACATTTTTGCACCCAGATACATGTACTCCATTATTGTAATCTGCAGAAAAATGCTCCTTTTAAAACCAAACAATCTATGTGAGTTATGCATACTTTATTGACAATTGTGCAAACAGCATAACTGATTAACCCCTTGATGGCAGGAATTTCTTGCCGAAAGCCGACTTTAAGAATTTCAGCCTTGCTTGGCCACGAAGGCCACCTGCCAAACCGCAAATTCTCGGTTTGTGGCCCTGCGTGTTCTGCACGCTTTGAATTACACAGTGAAAAGGCTGATTGTCCGGTGGCATGCGGCTCTACTCACACTTCTACATTCCTGTTGCCTCTTTTCAAAGTGGGGACTATTGTGAAGCTGGTGATTATGATGCAAATTCGGTCTTTCCATTTCTGGGCTACACACAAAGGTCAATTACCACATACACATAGCCAGGGTCTGCCTTCTTTCACCGTGTTTGCTCGAGCCTGGGCCGAGAATGATAGCTGAAAAGTGGGCTGAGGATCTCAATTTTTACAGTGTGTCTTGCCACGTCCCAGTGCGAAGGGGTTAAAGTATATTTGAATTAATTTGTTGCATTTCTATATTCGTTGATCCAAACCATGTTGCTCTGGACTTAAATATCCATATATATATTTTTTTTATTGAATCAGACAACAAAGGATAGCTGAAATCAAGAAATTACAGAGGAAGGAGCGATACGGGGAAGTTAAAGAGATTTCTGCCCAGGATTACGTACAGGAAGTCAACAATGCTGGGGAAGGGGTATGGGTGGTTCTTCATCTGTACAAGCAGGGGTGAGTGTGACTGGGTAGGGGGTATGGGTGGGGTTCTTCATGTACAAGCAGGGGTGAGTATGACTGGGGAGGGGGTATGGTGGTTCTTTCATCTGTACAAGCAGGGGTGAGTGTGACTGGGGAGGGGTATGGGTGGTTCTTTCATCTGTACAAACTGAAGCTTCTTGAATTTGGCTGGCTGCTGAAGTCACAATTTGCTTGGCGAAAGTAGGTCACTGGCTGCAACGTTACGTGGTACATACTAACCATAGTTGGTTCCCCTACCATGTTTAGAAATTCTTCTGTTGGCATTATCCCTCTTATGCTGAAGTCTCTCTTTGGGTCACTTGGTGAACACCTCAATGAAGCACAACTGTGT